GCCCCCCGTGTGTGGCTGCCCCCCGTGTGTGGCTGCCCCCCGTGGGTGGCTGCCCCCCGTGTGTGGCTGCCCCCCGTGTGTGGCTGCCCCCCGTGTGTGGCTGCCCCCCGTGTGTGGCTGCCCCCCGTGTGTGGCTGCCCATGTCGGAGAAGCATCTGCTGGCTTCCAGGGGTGGACGCGGGGCCCAGTGGTGGTCTCCTGCCCTCCCCCCACCAGGATCACACCAGCAGTCCAGAATGTCATGCCTAATGGCCTTCTGCTTTTTTTTTTTTTAAATGACTAATAGTAGGCTGACATGTAGTTCATTTTCTGCTAAAAGCCCGATCAGCTCCAAGTTTAGAGTGAGTACAGCTGACATCCTGCTGGGTGGGAGAGGAGCGAGGACAGGGCAGTCTGGGACTGGGCTTCTTGACTCTGCAGAGGAGGAGGGGCTGAGAGGGGAGGGAGGCCGGAGCTCAGAGAATACTGCCTGTGCCATAACCACTCTAGTTCCCTCATTTCCAGACGCGTCTGTTGCTTTTACAGTAAGAAAACCCTGTTGTAACCATTCTGTTGCTATTTTACAATCAGTAATTAAATGGTATAAGCACTTTAATCAAAGATGTTATAACCACAGATGACCTGGTAGTTGTGTTTGTCCTTCTTGACAGTTTGCATAAATCATCCCCGGTCCTTTTTTTTTTTTTAAGATTTTATTTGAGAGAGAGACTGCGAGAGCGTGCACGAGCAGGTGGGAGGGGCAGAGGGAGAAGCAGACCCCCCCCTCCCCCGCGCTGAGCAAGAAGCCTGATGCGGGGTTTGATCCCAGGACCCTAAGATCATGACCTAAGCCGAAGGCAGACACTTCACCGACTGAGCCTCCCAGGTGCCCCCCCCACCCTAGTCCTATTTAAAAGCTAATTGGGGAGCCCCCTTTGCAGTGGCTGAGAGGTCCAGGGGAGAAGGGTACATGTAACGCGTGTCCGTGTCGGTAACCTAGTTTCAGTTCACAGGTCGTCTTCAAAGTCCTCACCGGTTTCAAAGAGGTTACACAGTCGCACGAGTGGGGGCTCTTGTAACCCTATGACCACGGTCCTGCCCTTTGCCAGAGGACCAGTGTCCTCTGGCTGTTGGGGGGGCTTTCCGCAGGGCCTCTGGGACCCCGACGTGAGAGTGTGTCCGGGCCAGGGAAGCTTGGGTGCACTGAGGGGCCTGCTGGGGCGCCCTTCCCTTGGGGTCCCCTGCTCAGCCAGTGCTGTCCCGGCTGGCTTGGGGTCTCCATGCGGGGGTATTGGGGGCTCCGTGTCCACACATGGGCCATTTCCAGGCAGCAGAAGGAAGCGGTCCCACTTGGATGACGTGGCTCTTAGCTGTGGGGCCGGACGTGGAGGACCCCCCTGAGGAGCAGAAAGCTCCCCGGTGCCCCCATCTTTGTGGCTGCCACCTTCCGTGACCTTCCTGGCCAGGCCAGCATGGTCCTGCAATGGAAGCGAGAGGAGAGAACTGTGTCCTGGCAGGACCAAGGGACGGGAGGGAAGGTCCCCCTGCCCGCCCTGCTGCTGCCCCCTCTCCACCTCGGGGCTCCCACACTTCTCGCTCTCTGTTCCACCTACTGCCCTGCTCTCGGGCTGGCAGACTAGGGACCTGCCTTCATCTGGTTTTATAAACACGGTACTAGAAGTCCTATCACAGCAATCAGACAAGGAAAAGAAATAAAAGGCATCCAAATTGGTAAGGAAGAAGTGAAACTGTCCCTATTTACAGCTGACATGATACTTTACATAGAAAACCCTAAAGCCTCTACCTAAAAACTATTAGAAATGATAAATTCAGTAAAGTTACAAAATGAATATATACAAATCTGTTGTGTTTCTATACACGAATAATAAAATAGCAACAAAACAAAACAAAAAAACCACCCAAAAAACAAAAAGGGATGCCTGGGTGGCTCAGTTGTTAGGCATCTACCTTTGGCTCAGGTCATGATCCCGGGGTCCTGGGATCGAGCCCAGTGTCAGGATCCCTGCTCAGCAGGGAGTCTGCTGCTTCCTCTCCCCACCCCCGCTTGTGCTCTCTTGCCTCTCAAATAAAATCTTTTTTTTAAAAAAAAGAATAAAATACATAGGAATAAATGTAACCAAGGAGGTGAGAGGCCTATACTCTGAAAACTGTAAGACACTGATGAAAGAAACTGAGAGGACACAAACAAATGGAAAGACAAACCATGCTCATGGATTGGAAGGATCAATACTGTTAAAATGTCTATACTACCCTAAGCAATCTATGAAATTCAATGCAATCCAATAGAATTTTGCACAGAACTAGAATAATCCTTAAATTTTAATGTAATCCAAAAGACCCTCAATAGCAAAAGCAAAGTTGCGAAAGAAAAAACCTGGAGGTATAATCCCAGATTTCAAGATATACTACAAAGGTATTGTTTTTTTTTTTTTTTTAAAGATTTTATTTATTTGAGACAGAATGAGAGAGAGAGCACATGAGAGGGGGGAGGGTCAGAGGGAGAAGTAGACTCTCTGCCGAGCAGGGAGCCCGATGCGGGACTCGATCCCGGGACTCCAGGATCATGACCTGAGCCGGAGGCAGTCGCCCAACCAACTGAGCCACCCAGGCGCTCACTACAAAGGTATTGTAATCAAAACAGTATGGTACTGGCACAAAAACACACCTAGATCAATGGAACGTAACAGAAAGTTCAGAATTAAACCCATGATTATATGGCCAGGTAATCAAGGACAAAGGAAGCAAGAACATAAAATGGGGAAAAGACAGTCTCTCCAATGAAAGGTGGTGAGGAAACTGGACCATTTTCTTAGACTATAAAAAAAAAAAACCTCAAAATGGATTAAAGACCTAAATGTGAGAACTGAAACCATAAAACTCCTAAGAAAAAACATAGTAAGCTGTTTGACACTGGCCTTGGCAACGTATTTATGGTTATGTCTCCTCAGGCAAGGGAAACAAAAGCAAAAATAAAATACTGGGAGTACATAAAAATAAAAAGCTTTTGCACAGTGAAGGAAGCCATTAGCAAAATGAAAAGGCAACATACTGAATGGAAAAACATATTTACAAATGATGTATCTGAAGGTGGTTAATATCCTTAATATTTAAAGAACTTACAATACAACTCAACACCAAAAACCCAAATAACCCAATCAGAAAACAGGCAGAGGACCCAAATAGACATTTTTCCAAAGAAGACATACAATGGCTAACAGACACATGAAAAGAGGCTCAACATCACTCAGCATCAGGGAAATACACATCAAAACCACAATGGGATATCACCTCACACCTGTCAGAATGGGTAGTATCAAAAAGATAAGAAATAACAAGTACTGGGGAAGATGTGGAGAAAAGGGAACTCTTGTGCACTGTTGGTGGGAAGGTGAACTGGTGCAGCCATTGTGGAAAACTGTATGGAATTTCTTTAGAAAATTAAAAATAGAAAAACCATACGATCCAGTAATTTCGTTACTGGATATTTACCCAAGGAAAGCAAAAACACTAGTTTGAAACGATCTATGCATATTTGCTGCAGCACTATTTACAATAGCCAATATATGGAAGCAGCCCAAATGTCCACTGATGGGTGAATGGAAAAAGAAGATGGGGTCTATATCTACATAATGGAGTATTACTCAGGCATAAAAAAGGAACTCATAAATACAGAGAACCGCGGGTTGTCCTTGGGAAGGGTACAAGGGGATGGGCAAAATGGATGAAAGGGATTCAGAGGTACAAAGTCCAAAGAGATGAAAAATATAGCATAGGAAATATAGTCAATAATATTATAATGTATGCTGACGGACAAGGACTATCATGGTGAGCACTGATTCATGTACTGAATTGCCAAATCACTATGTTGTACACCTAAAACCTAATATACCATCGTATGTCAACCATACTTCAATAATAAAAAAAACAAGAGCAGATCCTCGGTAAAGACAGTGCCTTGTGTGAAAGGACACACCCGGGTGAGTGAAGGTGAAGCTGCGAACAGTTCCTCAGAAGTCTGGGGCAGGTCCCATGTTGGACGGTCTGACAAAGACCTGCCACGCCACGTCAAGGGAGGAGAATGGTTGACTCAGAAAAGCCCTACTGGTCAACCTTGGTTGATTCCAAGGCATCAAGCTGTCCTTTTGCCCGGGAGCTCACATCACTGAGATTGAGCATGGCAGGGAAATGGTCAGGCCAGAGAAAGGAGTGGGCTTGTCAGAGCAGACAAAACACTCAGGTAGTAAACAGTTCTATGTGTGTTTCATGGTTACTGGGACCAGAAGAGAAACACTTCAATCACTCAATCACTGACCTTCTGGGGCTCCAATGTAACCTCAGAATCACCTAGGTTCTGGACATCGGGGCTGTGTGGAGGCCAGACTGTGGTCTGGCTGCATTTCCTGGTGGAGAGAAAGCACTGTCAAGAATCCAGTCCTATCACCACACTGGCAGTCACCCTAGCACAGGTAGGGACCTTGTCCTCCCATACAGCTTCCCAGCCAGGTGGCCACTCAGCTTCTGCTCCACTGCCGCAGGCTGCCCGACAACATCCAAGGCAGGCTGCTTCTCTGCCCCAAGCTCGTAGTTGCTAGAAAGCTCTTATTTTGAATTGGAATCTATCTCCCAATGTCACTTGCCCTGTGGGGGCCACCCTGGATCTAGAGAAGGTAATGTCTCAGAAGACTCTCTAAAATGCAGAGTAAGTCTAGAGAAGAGACCTATAAAAGGTCAGGTCTTCGCGGCTGCAGGCGACAAGTTCCCAGAACCGCCAGCTACTCCGACCACACTTCACTTGGTGTGCAGTCACAAGGTGCCTGTGCTGGCATCCCGCCCAACCCTGACTGCTGCACGACAGCACCTGACACCCGGCAAGGCCAAGGAGGGCTTGGTGGTGCGGGTACCTGCCGGCCAGCGCCGCCCAAGCTGCTCCCGCGCTTCTGAGCGCGAGAGGGTGCTTGTTGTTCCCCCCTGGCCGGGAGGCACCATGGCAGTGAGGTGATGGCTGCATTGGTGACTGGCTCCGCACCTTTTTCTAGGCAGGCCTGTGTTGAAGGGAGGCTCTGGCTTCTCTGTCCTGGACAAGGGCAGTCTCTCGAAACACACTCCTCTTTCTATCCCCAGCTCTTTTGAGTCTCTTTCCAGATACTTCAGCCAGCGGTTCTCTGAGGACTGAGGTTTTTCCTACGGGATTGGGAAGTAAGTTTATTCTCAGACCCCCATCCGCCCTGGTACCAGGAAAGGCATTTTGCCGGGTGGAGGGGGGCACTGGGGAGACGGACGTCCTGAGGCACCACTGGGGACCGTGAACACTGGCACAGAGCTTGGGAAAGCTGCTGGACACAACTCATCAAGGAACTTTCCAAATGTCCATGCTCCCTGACGTAGGGGTTCCAAAGGAAGGCAAAGGCACAAAGATGCTCAACAAAGTGAGGTAAATCATAGCGAATACTCCCTGTAGCAAAAATCTGGAACTAATCTACGTGCCCAATCATCATGGGATAAATATTGGTACCACCGCTATATTCTGTAGATACGGGCATCACTGCAAACTCTACAGCAATGCAAGAACGACATGAGTGAAAACTCTGGGGTGCAAACCGGGACTTGTCATAATCGTGATGATGTAAAATGGAGTCCCTCAGTGGACAAAATTGAACGTAGAGTGCCAACCATGTGAGAGCTGCTGTGTAAAGTGGTGTATGAGCAATGCTCCCATTTACAACACAAATATGAAGAGCCGGGAAAGGGAGGACACTGCCAACGCGCTTCTGTGAGCAGAGGCGGGCTCTGTCCTCAGCTGGGTGGGGAGCCTCAGACAGCTGCTCGCACCCCCCCGGCCCTGGCAGGACACAGTGTTCCATGTACCCACGGCACCTTGGACATACCCATGGTGTCACCTCAAGCTCCGACACACACCACCCACCCAACACGGTCTGAGCACCTACATTACTGGGCACCGGGGCAGAAAATTGGATGGGAGCCCTGCCGGGAGGCTTGGTCTGGAGAAAGGGAACCCGAAAGCCAGGTACTCTGCCAGAGCATCCTTTCCCTAGCTGAGGTGTGCCCAGAGTGTGACGGGGCCAAGGCGAGAAACACGGGGAGGTAAGTTCAAGCTATGTTCAGAGTTCTCCCAGCCAGGGACAACGCCCTTTTCAGAGTCCTGTAATTAGTGTTACGCATGGCTGTCTCCAGCCTCACAAAAGGGTTGGGTTTACTCCTTTTTGTGTTCCCTGCAGCTTTAAGCCAAGTGTCCATAATTGATCGTGTTTGCTGCACAAAAGACCAACAAATGAATAAATGGAACCCCCTCTGGGACACACTTACCTGCACACTCCCACGCTCAGCCTGCCCAGGCCCTGCATTTTCCTCTTCATCATTTCCGGGTTCTTCCAGAGACCTTGGTGAAAGATTGTACTTGTGTCCTTAGTGAAATGACCAGGGAGACAGAGGGCAAGGGGATGGGGACAGCCGCATGTGAGTAGTTGACAATGGTTATCAAGGACTGCTCTAGGGATCTTAGGATCTTATATCTGTTGTTCTGATGTAATCTGGGGAGCTTCAAACAGTTCAGAAGAGCCCGCGAGGGGGGACCATTTGTTGTTCAGATTTAGGCTGGTCAAGCCCTCCATCAATGGGAAAGGTGACACAGGGCAGAAGGGGCTGACTCTTTACCTAGACAGACCCGTCTTTGCATCCTGGCTTTGCCAATGACTGGCTGTCACTGTCACAGTGTGACTTTGGGTTCATCAACATACCCCAGTTCCCTTACCCACAAATGGTGACAAGACGGCGTGGGTGACTATGAAGATGAAAGAGATGACGTGTGCCCGTGCCTTGCTGAGGGCCTGGGATATGGACAGAGTAACATCGGCTGAAGGCTTGTAGCACAGGGTCCCTCCCATCAGCACTGGCGAGGTCATGACTGCACAGTTACACAAGTCCTTAGAGTTCTACCTCAACTCTTGCAAAAGAAGGGAGGCATTGTGTGTGTCACAGTGACTTCTGCCAGCCTCCCTGCGGCAGCAGGGCTCTCTCGCCACATGAAGAAGTGTGGGGGGGCCAGGGCCTCCATGGCCTCTACTGGGACTGACTGGCCATGAGAACACGTACCATGCGAGGGCTGGAGGTTGGTGCAAAGCCACGCCCACCTGCGTCCGACAGGGTGGTTACATCGCACCATCAAATGGGGACTCTCTCTAGTGAGCAACCAGATGTGGGCATCTATTCTTCAGTTTCTTCCTCCATATGTAGAAGTCATCGATCCTCACAGGTCGATTATAAAGAGGCAATGAGGGCATGCACGTGCAACACCTACCCGGCCAGGTGGCTGATAACCTGGCATTCACTTGGGTGGTGTCCTACCAGCTACGGACCAGAACTCTGCTCACCGTTCTGATTCAGGAACTCAACTCCATCAATAAAGGACAGCTTGCAACAGTCTGAAGATACCAGCCTGTCTTCTTGCTTTTAAAGTTACCACTGAGAAGTTGGGCATCTGCTGTTCCTTTGTAGGTGATCTCTCTTCTATCCAGCTACTTTTCAGCTCTTCCCTTTGTCTTCTGTGTTCTGTGATTTCATTATGTTGCTGTGTCTAAGGGCAGATTTTTTTTAACCTTCAAAATTAATTTAAGGTATGAAATACACTAAAATTTAAGTGTATAGTTAGATGAGCTTTGATAAATGATATCTTTGAAACTATCATCCAGTCAACATCTAGAAAAAAAATTTTAATTGAGATATAATGGACAAGATGTGGAAAATTTTCATCACCCCTAAATGTTCTCATATGTGTCTTTAGAGGCAATTCTCCTCTGCCCCAGAAAACCCCTGATCCCTACAGCATGTAGTCTTTTGTGTCTGGCTTCTCTCACTTAGCAGTGTTTTTGAGATTTGCCCATGTTGTTTTCAATGTTGTAGCACTCCACTGCATGAACATATCACAGTTTGTTTATCCATTTACCTTCTGATTTATCTGTATGTCTAGCCTTTAACCAATATCGCATTGTCTCAATTACTGCAGTATTATAGTAGATCTTGAAATCAGGCTGTAGAAGTCTTCCAGCTCTGTTCTTTTCAAAACTGTCTTGGTAATTCTAGGTACCTGTATTCCTATAAAAATTTTAGGATCCGTTTGTCAATTTCTACCCCCCCCCAAAAAAAGCCCACTGGAATTTTATTTGGATTAGGTTGTCTCTACCAACTTTGGATAAACTGAAATCCTCATGATACTGAGTTTTCCAATCCATGAACGTGTTATATCTCTTCATTAATTTAGCTCTTCTTTAATTTCTCTCAGCAATGTTTTGTAGTTTTTACTGAATAGATCTTGCACTTTTTTGTTGCATTTATCCCTAAGTATCTAATTTTTTGATGCTGTTCTAAATGGTATTTGATTTAAAAAATCATTTCCAATTGCTCATAGCATTTATACAGAAATAATTTAATTCTGTATGTTGACTTTTTTAGAATTTATTTATATAAAGGGGAGAGAGAAGCAGACTGCCCACTGAGTGTGGAGCCCTAGGCGGGCTCAATTCCAGGACCCTGAGATCATGAAGTCAAATGCTTAACCGACTGAGCCACCCATGCACCCCTGTATGTTGACTTTGTATCCTTGTGATCTTGGTAGAATATTAGCTCTAGTAGCATTTGTATAGGCTGGTTAGGATTTCCTATATACACAACCATGTTGTTTGCAAATAAAATAACTTTATCCAGTTTGAGATTTATTGTTTCCTAAATCTAAGAATGTAAGCCTTTGATTCTGGAAAATGCTCTGGTCTTTTCTCTTCAAATATTGCCTTTGCCCCACTTTCTTTAGTCTCTCTTGCTGGAACTCTTCCCTGTAGCTTCCATGTTTCTCAACTCACATTTTCCATGTTTTTATTTCTGTGTTGCATTGTAAATACTTTCTTCAGATTTAACTTCCATTTCACTGATTCTCTCTTCAGCTACATTTAATGCTTAACCTGTCCACTGAATTTTTACTTTCAATGATTATATTTTTCATTTCTATAAACTCTTTTCGGTTCATTAAACCTACCTGGTCGTTTTTAAAAGTCCTTTACTTCTTCTTTTTTGTTTTTTGTACTCTACCCCCAATGTGGGGCTTGAATTCATGACCCTGAGATCAAGAGTTGCATGCTATACTGATTGAGCTAGCTGGGTGGCCTGAAGTCCTTTGCTTTTTAAATTATCAACCCTGTCTTTTATCTCATTAAATGTATTAAATATACATTTTGTACTCTAAAGTCTTTGTGTGTCTCACTTTTCTGTTGTTTCTGTTGTCTTTTGCTCATGGTGACATATCTCCTTGAGTGTTTAATGATTTTTAACTCTGAGTAGATGCTTCTTGGAACTTTATCTGTGAAAATTCTCTCAGGCCTGGGTTGAAGATGTATGCTCCAGAGGAGTTGCATTTACCTTTGCTTCCTTGGACAATTTAAAAATAAATTCTTAGCTTGAGGCTTTTCACACAGTGCATGTAAAAGGTTGAAAAGCCATGTGACAGCTTTCTTGTGTTTATAAAACCCTAGAGAGAGAGTTCCCTTCCTTAGCCAATGCCAAGGTCAACATGCTCCCTGCTGCAGAGAGGGTGCATTTCTAATTCATTTGTTCATCCACCTGAGGGTGTAGTATTTTGGGGACTCCCCTTTCTGTGGCGGTCTCCTACTGACCCTCCCACACTGATCAGGCCCTAGGTCTTGTCTTTGTCTCCCACACCCTTCCCAGCCATCTAAATGGAAGCTCTGGAGCAGCTTACTCTCTGGATTTTGGCTTTTGCTTTATTTTTGACTTCTGATATTTTGTTGACTTCCTTGCCATCTCATCAGTGTACTCAAAATACTATAGTTAGCATTTTTAGTTATTTTTAGTGGGAAGACTGTTCAGGGGAACTAATCACCATATGGAAATCTAAGGGATTTCTCCATCTTCTACTTCTACTAACCACTCAAGGGGAACACAGGGCAAGACAAGATAACCATGCCCTTCTCAAACAACTGTACCTGAGTGACATCTCTGAAATCTGTCCCTGCAGCAGATTTAATTTTTGGACATGGCGTCTACAGTCAGCACCAGAGCCCTCACCATAAGTCTGAAAAACAAAAAATAGTAAGTTTAAAAAGTGTTGACAAAAATGCTGAGAAACAGATCCGTTAGTGATGTACCTCAGGAAGGGGAACGCTGTCCTTTGCAAGGCCCAGAAGCACCATGCAGAAATCCTGATGACTGACCACTGTTTCTGGAGTTATTTATTTACAAACTAACAGTCTCAGGGACTAATAGTTCTTGGCTATCTGGCTGTCCTTCTAGCACTCAGAACTCTACATATCAAAGACACACTCAGCCCCAAGCCCCACACTAAATGGTTAATGAATGTGAATAAGAAATGTGGAAGAGAAGTAACACGAACCACCAATAAACACACAATAGGATACTTAGTATTGACTGATGATCAAAGGAACATAAAATAAAACGAAGTACTTTTTTTTTCACTTAGCAGTGGCTTATGTGTCTAACAATATTTATCACACACCTATTATGTGTCAGGCCCCTGAACTAGGTAAGGACAATACAATACAGAAGTGGACAAAAATCACTGTCACCGTGGAGTGTACATTCTAGTGAACACCAGAGTGTACATTCTATATGTTATATAAACATAGAACTATGTGGCCATCAGATGATGAGAAGTACCACCCAGGGAAATAAGGCAATGAAAGGTGTAGAGTGGGGACAGAGTAGACAATTTTATATAGGGTTTTCAGGGAATAGATCACTAAGGTGACATCTGAGCACAAAATAGGAAGATATGAGGGCCGAAGCCATGTAGATACCTGGGGGAAAGCATCTGGCAGAAGCAATGAAACAGACATGAGAGCAAGGACACTGAGCCTGGCATTTTGGGGGAACTGTAAGGAGGCCACATGGCTAGAGCTGAGTGGTCTGGGGAAAAATGGTACAAGATGAGGTGTGAGTGTAGTTCCAACCACAGGCAGTCAGCCTCATGGGCATGAGACCTGTTCTGTTGCTGCCATCTTGAAAACATTTTTTTTATTTTTTATTTTAAATTCTTAATAATCTTACCTTTGAACTTGTGTAAGTCAAGTCTGATGGGACAATGGGTCATGTCTGTAAGCAGGGATATACACACTATACATGTCCATTGTTCCTTGCTGCACCATTTGCATACAGCAAGCTCAATGACCCAGGAGCACAGGATTCCAGTGGACTCACAACAAACAAGTGCGATTGTTCACTGAGAGTTGGAGTGTAGACGTTAAGTGTTTGTCGTCTACACCTGAGTAGAGGCACCCACAACCTGAGAGGCCAGGCTTTCCACAGAACAAGAGCTTGCTTCAGATACAGACAAAAGGCAAGGGTGTTCTAAACATACATGAACAACCAAGGAACCCTATCATATCTTTTTTTATTCCTGTTATTTGCCTAGAACAGCTGATCACTTATACTGAAAACAATGACACGGAAGGAAAAGGCAAGGCAGGGAGACCCTTGTTCCTTTCCCTTTCAGTCCTTCCTTACGCATCAGGGAGCTGATGGGGGATAGTGTGGGGAGAGAGTGTGCATATTAATAAGTAGAAAAAAGTTGAGCTAATTTTGTGCATTTCCATTGTCCTGGTAAAAATGAAATACACAGGCATGTATGAGCTCCAAAATATAAGTAGGGCAATTTGGATGATCCTGCATATATAGTAAATGTTCTTGTATTATTCTGCATATGGACTAAATGCTCTTTGCATTTTAAACTGGTGTTGCACAATACCAATGGTAAAATTCATGCTAATAATTTAAAATAAATTGTTTTTTCTTAACTTAGGAAGACATTCCACAGTAAATAAAAAACATTATGAGATGTCAAGAGAGACCAGGAAAGAAAGGAAAAACTTAATATTTTAGTACTTTTCACAGCTTTTTTTCCTGTTTTTGAACAAGGGGCCTCCCATTTTCATTTTGTACCAGGCACACTTGGCCCTGTCTGTAGCACCAGGGATTCTGCTCTAACCTGGAAGGTTGGGGAGAGTGGCTTGGCCCTGCACACGTTGAAGCAGGACCTCAGGCTGTGGTGCTGAGGGCAGGCTGTAGGGCAGTGACAGGGCAGGTGGCAGGAGGTTGATGCAAACAGTGGTGTGGCTCAGACCATTGAGTAACAAATGGTCAGTCTGGGTGCATCCTCAAAGTAGAGCTGACAAAATTTGCTGATGGACTGAAGGGTGTTTAAAAAAAAAAAAAAAAGGAGTCATGGATGACTTCTAGGTTTCTGGCCCAAACAACTAACAAGGGACTTGGCACATATGGGACCAGGAGGACTGTGGGAGAGCAGGTGGGTGGGGGGAGGCGAGGCCTTCTGTTTGGAAAGGGGGGGTTCTGGATGCCTGTCAGAGAACCAGTAGAGAGCTCAATGGGCAGTTCAGGGCTGGGCCTGGGGTCTGAGACAGACATCCCAGAACTGTCAGATGATCTCCGCTCAGACCACTAAGAGAGTGAGGCCAACAAACTGAGCACCAGAGCAATTCTCATGTTTAGAAGTTGGCAAGACGGGAAAAAGCTAGCCAAGAGGACTGAAACACAGCCAGAAAGACAGCAGGAGAACCAGGAGTGGGATGACTGGAAGTCCAAGTGAACACAGCGTTTGAGGGGGAGGAAATGACAAACTGTAACAGACGCTGCCAATAGGTCAAGTCCCTGGAGGCCTGAGAACTCCCTACTGTTTTTAGCAAATGGAGAGCACCACTGACTTTGACAGGAGCCATTTTACTGCACTGTGGGGAATAAAAGCCCAGCTGGGGCAAGTTCAAGTGAGAATGGGAGAGAGGAACTGAAAAACGGAATGACAACGCTTTGCAAGACCTTACTCGACATCTGGCATAAATGGCAGGCTGTATGCTCGCCAGCACAGCAGGGACCACAGCCGAACGCTAATATCCTTCTCTCCTCATCTGGGCACAAACCGGATGACATTTTCTAGTCTTCCTTGCAGTTGGGGGTGGCCATGAGACAACGTTCTTTCTAATGGGATGTGAGCCATTTCCAGACCTGACCCTTAAAAGCCTCCTGTGTAGCCCCTTCCTGCTCTTACCCTTCAGTGGCTGCAGGCAGCAGGAGACAGGCCTTGGGGAGTAACAGAACCTCCAGATGAAGGGGGCCTGGGTCCCTGAATGACTGCATCAAGGATGGCCGCCCTGTGGATCTCAATCCCTCCCAGGACTGATACAAGAGCAAGAGAGATGATCTGTATTGTGTGAGGCTACCACCATTTTGTTGTCTATTTGTCACTGTGGCCTAGCCTACCGTAAGCCAGGCACCACTGCACATGCATGGAAGTGCGAGAGGAAAGCGGAGCCCCCTCCTGGAGAGTTTAGAAATATATGCTGACATGGAAAACAAGCAGCAGTCACTAGCTCACGAGCCAGCTCCTTGTCCTCGGAAACCCAATCTCGGGGTGGGCCTCAGCAGCTATACTGCTGACCAATGACATGATCCTCCCTACTCCTACCATCCCAGTTGGCTCGACCAGATGTGGACATCTGGGTCAACGGGGCCAATCAGATCGCTTCTCCCAGTTTCTTAATTGGGACTCAGCTATTTTAGTTGGCTTGAAGTGAGAGTCTGTGCTCTGTGGGTGGAGTCTGTGACTACGAACTATCTGGGGAGAGAGAGGAAGGGAAGGAGAGGCAGGAAGAGGGGAAGGAAGATGTAGGGAGAACCTGGGTGCAGGGAAAGAAGGGGAAGAAAAAATGATGCATTGTCCGCAGCTTTGCAGTTCTCGGGGCTGGTCCTTCAAGGGCTCAGGGATGAAACTCCCCCCTTGCATTCCCCAAGATACCCCATTACCTTGCCAGTACCTTTTTTTTTTTTTTAATTTTGTTGAAGCCATTCTGAAGTGTTTATTCCCCGCCCCCCCGCCACTATTTGCAACTAAAAGAACCTTGGCCAAAAGATTACTTTGAAATAGCAATTTAACTTCTAGGAATTTGTCCTAAGGAAATAATTGGCCTAGTGAAGAAAGAGGTCTTTGTAGGAAGCTGCACTGCAGAGTTGTTTGTAACAATGAAAACGAAAACCGACCTAAATGCCAATCACATGTGGTCATTCTTGATTCAACAAATCTTTATTGGGCGAGCACTTACTGTGCCAGGCACTGTGCTACGTGAGAGGGTGTATCGGTGAACAAACCAGGCAAAGCTTCTGCTCTCATGGATCTTCCATGAGATTAAATGATACTCATGTAAACACACTTGGATAGAATATCTAAATCAGGATAATGAGAAGAGCTAGGGGAAGCCCCAACAATGAGCACAGAGGCCGTCAGGGTGCAGCATGTCTGGACTGTTTCAGGGTCTGAAAGGAAAGGCCTTATGGCTGAAGGAGGAGAACGAGGAGCTGAGGTGAGAGAAGTGGCATCAAGGGCCAGAGAAGGTGAACGAGGGGCTCACTGAGGCAAAGGGTGCAGGACAGTTTGTGGTAGTAAAGAGATGAGGCGGATCAACAGGTACCCACTTGAAAGGAACTGAAGTGGCCTCAGTAAGGGCTTTGCCCCTGAGCTTCCTTCAGTCCATACACTCTCCATCAAGTGTCTCCTGACGGCCTCCACTTCCTGAGCCCACCTCGCCCACACGCTGCAAGCAGCAACACGCACCCACACGCACCCACCTGGCTGGGTCTGACTGCCTGGTCATCTCCTTACAGGCCCTGCATTTTCCTTGCATTTGCTCAGTCTAGTTTTAAGTGACCTGCTTAAGCGTGCATCAGTTTCTCTTCTAAGTGAAACACATCTGTGAGGGCAAGAATGACAAAGCTTTGCCTTCCCTTGTTTCTTCTGTGCCTGCACATAGAAAGTCCTCAACAAATACTTGCTGACTGAATAAACAATGAAGGTAACTTTCCAGCCACTGCTCCATCCATTTCACTTCCTGAAGGAACAGGAACCCAGGGGGCAAAAGTTCTAGATCTAGGGAACTCGTTCCCAATACTGGAATGCTGGGACTCCACAGAAACACGCTTCTGCAGGGCTGTTAGATGCCCTGTTTCTCAGGACTCACCCGCAAAAATGACTGCTTCTCTCCACAAGCTTTGCATGTCCACTTGAGACTCTTTTTCTCCTACAATGAAATTCCAGAAATTTGGCTTAAATGATTATTTAAAACAGGTGGCACTGAATCAAAAATAATGATTTTAAAAGATCAATGGAGAAGCATAGAAGTCTAAAAACAAGCAACATATATGTAAAAAACCTAGTATATTATAAAGGTGGCATTTTAGGAGGACAAAAACAGACTAATATATGGTGCTGGGAAAACTGGCTGTCCATATGAAACAAAGTCAAGTAGATCTCTACTACTTCTACAACATTTAATTTCGATTCTTGATAAATTTAACCAGATGGGTTCTCTCTTAACACGAAAAAATACCTTACATTCAGCTCTAAAACTGGAAAATCACTACCAGCACACCCATGAAAATCAAGAACAAGCCAAAAATCCCCATTACTATTCAACTATTGTTATTTTTCTGCCAATGGAATCGGAAAAGAAAAAGTAATAAGAGGTATGAAAACTGGAGAGAAGGAAAAAAATTATTAGATTTTTTTTTTTTTTTTACCGGAAAACTCAAGAAAATCAAATGCAAAACTACTAAAAACAGTAAGACAATTTAATATAGCGGGGCTGAGTACAAAGTTAATATAGCTTCAAAAGTTAATAGAGCCTTTATAAAAGCAAATACCTAGTTAGAAAAGGTAATGGGAAAGTCCATTTAAAACAGCAACAAAGAAAGTGTTATCAAAGGACACAAAGTTGCTTAAAAAAATGGAATGAAGTAGCATGCTTAACATCAAAAAGATGCCTGGGTTGATTTATCAAAATTAATATGAGTATGATCATAATGCAAAAACCATCAGTTTTTTTGGTGAAGTACCTAAAAGGATTCTAAGGACAGCAGCACCTAAAGCACCTACTACAAATTTATGTGGGCATATACTACGATTCAGCAATTCTAATTCTCTAGTATCCAACTTCAAACACCATAAAAATACTGCTTTCTTTGGGTATATCTGCAAGTAAGAAACGCACTTATTTAAAAAAAAGGTCTGGAAGGACACACACTAACTGGCTAGCTCTGGGGGTCTGGAGTCTGGAGAGAGACAGTATGGGCTAACAGGATCTTTGCAATCAGACAGCCCTGGATCTGCCATTTATTATTAGACCACTTGACTTCTCTGGATTTCTGTATTCTCATCTCTGTAAAATGAGAATGATGGATACCTAATCCAGAGGTTGCTGAAATTAAATGGGATGTTTGAAATTGTCACATCTGCAATTACTGTTAACTCTTTTCTCCCTTTAGTTTCAAATCACTTTTCATAGTTGAAAATGACCATGAGTGCATACTACATTACATATGTGTAATGATTAAAAAATGAAAATGATATCCATTTAATCTCAACTCCTAAAACACAGTCCAAAAAATGAAGTAAAAACAATGTCTGAGCCCCCAAAATAGCCCTTACGGTCTCAGTAAGCTTACAGGTGCATACTCAGCATCTGACTTTTTTTTAAACATTCATTTTGAAGAAGTTGGATGTTACCCTTTTCAGGGCACAGCAGATAAGCAGGTAACTAGAGGGAAGAGAGAACTGTCAAAAGTAGATTCGCTCGACGGCACTGTTAGGTGACATCAAGCAGAAAGATGAAATGTAATCCAGGGTAACAGGTTAAGTGACTTCCCCTATCTTGCGACCTTTAAGTCAGGGAAGCAGTACGTTTTGGAAATACCGATTATCCTGTTTAAAACACTCCATGCACGGGTTTACCGTCAGCGGAACCGTCCCTCATCACGAGGATGGAGACACCGCAGAGCGAAGGGGTGGGCAGCAAGGCACGCCCAGTCGTGTCTCAGTTTTAAAAACTGTCATCTCCCTAGTAGTTAAATTAAGAAAGAGCCACTTTGGGAGAGGCTATCCTCAACCTGCTTTTCCCAACTATCTGCAAGAAGTCACGAGGCCGCCTCCGCAGAAACCATTCTCCCTGGTTTCTACGAATCTTATAACTACCATGCCAAAAACTTTAAAAAAAGCCCTGAACAACGTTATGAAGAGGTATCAAAACCCAGCACTCAGGGCCCGTCAACATCACGAATCCGAGCGTCAGGGAGACCCAAGCAACCGCACGAGACGGCGCCCGCGCCTGGGGGCAAGGAACCGGGAGGAGGCCCGGCCCCCGCCCCCCGGCCCCGCCAAATCCTGCCCGCCCACCCCGCGCCCGGAGAAGGGGGAGGCCGGTGCCCACCCCACCTGGTGCGCCTGGAAGAGGCGACAGCGGCAGCACCGCAGCACCCGAACCCCCTGTGAGGGCGCCATTGCGGACACCGCCGCCGCTGCGTATGCGCGCTGTGCTCCTGTCCGCCCCGGCTTAGCCTCCCGCACGCGTTCCGGGTCCTCTAGACCCCGGCGCCGCCTCGCGTGCGCGTGCGCTCTGCTCTTCGGCCCGCCCCCGCTCCGCCCCCTCCCACCGAGGCGTTCGGGCCTCTCTAGCCCGCCGAGCGTCTCGGCGGTCCGTTGGGGGTACCTGTGGCTGTGACTGGGGAGCTCAGGGGCATTGTTGGGGTTTGCGTTCAGCCCGGTCACCGACTTCCTGTCTGGACGGGGCCGGCCCCCGTCTCTTCCTAAGCCCGTGTCTCCTCTGGGGCTCGCCGGGAAAATTGAAGTTGCAAGGGCAGGTCGTCCAGCCGCGACTCCGGGTCCGGCCTTTGTCCGCGCCGTTCCCTCTGCTGCTTCTAGTCGCAGACAGGGAGCGGGAGGGCTCCTCCCCGCTCCTGCCTAGCCCCTGGGGCTCGGGGTTGGAATTTGCGGGACCTCTGGGCGGAGGCGGCCTTTGGTAACCTTTGAGCCTGAACCCCGAGGGCTGCGGCACCCAGGATCCCGGGAGGGTGGCTCAGCAGCCCCACGCTTCCCGGAGATGAGAAGCTGCTGTGAACGAAAGCAGCCTCCCCGGGGAAGCCCCACTGCGACCCTCTCTGGAAGGTTGGAGGGGCAGGACCCCTTCTGTCCCAGCCGCTCTGGGACGGACCCTAACGCCAGCCCCGCGTGCCCATAACATAAACCATCTTGTTAGAATTACAACACCGGATCCTGACAAGGATGTGGCGAGAGGAATCCTTCTTGCCGGATTCTGGTAGAAGGGTAAGATGGAAAAACCATTACGGAAGACGATCTGGCAATTACCCCTACACTAAGAAAATAATCTGACTCACCCAGATTTATTGTTTGTGTAAGAGTGTTCACTGACGTATAATAGGAAAATGGAAATAGACGTGCTAAAGAATGGTTGCTTACTGTAACTCAAAATGGACCATCATGCAGGTCCATTACAGAGAATCTGAGTTCTACGTGCAAATGCCGGCATGTGTATTGATGGAAAGCAGAGAAGTAACAAAGAGTACGTAATTTCAGTTAGGTAAAACCAGGCATTATTTATTTCCAGGAGCGGGGTAGAGGGTTTACGGTTATAGAGGATTTAAAATTGTTTATATTTTCCAAATTTTGCACAGTAGCCTATATGAGAAAAAAATTAGCTTAAAAAATTATGTTTGAGGGGCTGGCTCCTGGGTGGCTCAGTCGGTTAAGCATCTGACGTCTGCTCAGATCATGATCCTGGGGTCCTGGGATCCAGCCCCCCTTCTCCTGCACCCCCCCCCCCCCCCCCCCCCGTGCTCGCTTTCTTGTGGTTCTCTCAAACAAATAAAATCTTAAAAGAAAATGTCTGAGGCTGGATTTACAAACGGACTGTGGCCAGACCACATATGACAACCTTTAGAGCAACCAATGCCCAATGCCCCCAAGCCAACCTACAACCTCTAGAGCAGACAGGACTTGGTCAATAACTGCCCATTTCCCTATATTCTGCAATTCCCTTTTCATCTCAGGACCAACCAGAGAAAGCCAATTACGCTCCTCACACCAACACAAAAGACACCCTTCTAAGGTAACTAACCAGCATCCACTTCCAGGCCAACAGCCTCTAATCAGAGCACACCTTAAGCCTTCCCTTGTTTTCACGCTAAGGCTTTCCCACTCCTCTACCTTTGAGTCTGCCAAATGTGAGGGATGATGGCTGACTCCTTTTCTATAGCAAGCTCCAAATAGTCCCTGTTCTCATTTGGGTGGTCTTTGTTTACTTCCACGTGTTTGAGTTATTGTGGCTGAAAGCAGAAGGCATCTGAAAAGAATGTTTTATGCTTAATGAAAAGAGCAGAATAAAAATTTCATGGGGCACCTGAATGACGCAGTTGGTGAAGCAGTGAAGCTATGATTCTTGATTTCGGCTCAGGTCATGATCTTCGGGGTTGTGAGATCCAGCGAGAGCACAGAGTCCGCTTGAGATTCTTTCCCTCCTGCTCCCCCTGCCCCTACCCCCCATGTGCATGCACTCTCTCTCTCTCTGAAATCTTAAATTTTTTTCGTATGTGGTATGGGTTCAGGTTTGAAAAAGATATAGAAAAAAAAACCACAAAAATACTGAGTAATCTTAAATATTGAGAAAATTGTTTTTCTACTTTTCTGTATTCTTCCCTTTCTGCAATAAATATGGAATCTTTAAAAATTCATATACTTTTCTTGGGAATTATAAAATTGACTTGGTTTGGCACACCACCACTTGGTAAGCAGTTTTAAAATATTACGTTTACTTATAGAAGAAAAATATTTTTAAAGCTTTACTTGTATTATCCATTTATTTTTTAGTGTTACTGTTCTGGTTATTTTGAATGTCATTGCAGGTTGAATGATTAATAGATGAAAGTACTGTTGTACATTTTTGTATATTATTTTATTATATGAAGGGCTAGATTCCTGTTTTATATTCTTCTGTTTAATTTCTTTGGCATATTCTCACATTTAGACTTCTACATGATATATAATATACTTATCCAAATTTCACATTATTTAAATCTAATTGATTACGATTTAAGACTTAAAACTGCCAACTTTATAGGATTTTTATGTATATCTTTACTTAATTTCATTATGGCCAAGAATATGGTCTTTCTGATATGAACCCTTTGAAATTACTTTATGGCAAAGCATGTGGTCAGTTTGTGTAAATACTAGGAAGGAAATTACATTGATCAATGACATTTTTTTGTTAAGAAAGCAGTTATTCAGTTTCCTTGATGTTGTTTTGCTGCATTTATTGAGATGGGACCCAGCAGTTGTGAACAAGGTAAAATCATGGAGACCATTATTTAAAAAACCAGCCACAAAACCTATAGATAGAAAGTAGATTAGCAGTTGCTTGGGGCTGGGGGTGGGAACAGCGACTGGCTGCACGGGGGTAGGAGGGTGAAGGAAGTATTCTAAAATTGCCTTGTGGTGATAGTCGCACAACTCTGTAAATTTACTCAAAATCACTGAATTATAACTCAAAACGAGTGAATTTTATGGCATGTAAATTATGCCTCAATAAAGCTATTAAATTAAAAAACAAAAACAAAAACAGGGGCACCTGGGTGGCTCAGTTGGTTAAGCATCTGACTTTTGATCTCAGCTAGGGTCTTGATCGTAGGGTTGTGAGTTCAAGCCCTACACTGGGCTCCAGGCTGGGCAGGGAGGCTACTTACAAAAAAAAAAAAAAAAAAAAGGAGGCAAAAACCCCCCAGCCCCAGATGTATCTCTCTCTCTTTTTTTAAGATTTTATTTGTCAGAGAGAGAGCGTGTGAGCAGGGGGAATTGCAGGTAGAGGGAGAAGCAGGCTCCCCGTCGAGCAAGGAGCCCGAAGTGGGGCTTGATCCCAGGACCCTGGGATCATGACCTGAGCCGAAGGAAGACGCTTAACCGACTGAGCCACCCAGGTGCCCCTCAGATTTATCTTTCAGTAGAAGAGCTGCCCCATGTGATAGGGGTGGAGAGAGGGGCGAACGCTAGACACTAATGATCAGCTCTTGCTACAAAGCTAGGGGGTGCTCATGGCTCAGTCTGTCACCTGGCCCCACAGCAACTTACTGAACCCAAGTGCTTGCTGCAGCCCAAGCCCAGGCCCACACATGCACCCACTAGACCCAGGATGTTTATACCTGAGGTGCTTGGGACTCTCCCTCGGCAGAGGTCAGCCCAAGCCCTACTGGGCCTGCATCAGTACTTTCTGTGCCCTCATTCTCCCTGGGGGCCTTGAAGCCCCACCCCTGTGGGGGTCTAAGTGCCCAGAACCTCTGGAACATGGCCTGGGCCCCCACCTGCCTGGGAAGAAGCCAGAAGCCCAAGCAGTAGCTGAGGCCACATTAAGGCTCTGTACACAGTATGGTATTGAGTTCTTTTGGGGGTTTATTAAGGCATTGAGCACAGTGTGATTTTCAGCCAACTGAAATGAATATAAGGAAATCTATCAGGACCTGAGGGATGTGCTTTTAAGGTTAATGGTGAGGCTGACGAGCTGAAAGAGCATTTAGAGTAACGCCCACACGGCATCCGCCCCGGTGCACTAGACACTTTCTGCCTGTGTCCCTCAGCCAGGGGCTCAGGGGCTCCTAGAGAGCACCTTGATGTTCCCACCACCTTGATGCCCAACGGGATCCCCTGCCTAGTGCCAAATGGCAGGAAAGCCCCCCGGAGTACCCAGATGCAGCCCCCCGCCCCCACCGGAGTGGAAGGTGCCTGGCCACTGAACGGGGCACAGAGGCGTTGGGCAAGCAGGCCAGGACGGACAGCCTCTGACAGGACACAGGGACCAAGGCGGGTCCCACCAGGCAGGCAGGAAGAGGGGGCTGGGAGCCTCTGTCTGGGCCCAACTGGGGCTGTTCAGCCTTTTTTTCCATTTACAACTCACTGCATCTGGGGAGAACAGGAGGGGTGCGTCCTGAGGGAGAAAACAGAACAGGAGGGAGGAGGGTGCGAGAAGGAGAGACAGGCCAGGTCCCCGTCAACCTGAAACTCCAGACTGTTCGAGGTCACTGGAGGTGCTGAACTGTCTCTCCACCTTCTTTTGGTCCTTGATCTTGAGTCCAATGTCCACCCTCTTCTCAAAGAAGTTCACCAGAACGGACTCTGTCAGGATGGAGGCCAAGATCTGCTCGAAGGAGATGCACCAGTCTGTGTCGACGGTGCCCCCGCCGCGGGTGGGGGCCGGGGGGCTGCGGGCCTCCGCGCCCACCAGCACCGTGTCGTCAGCCAGGTCCTCGCACTGCAGGGAGCCTGTGCTGACCACCGAGTAGGAGGACATGGACATGTCGTCTTTGGTTTCATCGTCAGACAGCAGCTGCAAGGGGGAGCCCCGGCCCTCGCCACCGCCCCCGTCACCCACCACCTGGCTCTCCTGGGGCGCCTTCCCGAGGTGGGTGTCTCCCCCAGCTTTGGCCTGGGGGTCACCC